TCTATTCTGTAATTGTAGCACTAAAATCTGTGTCTATTGCAATAGTTATCCATTTTATCACTGATATAAGTTTAAAAATTAATTAGGTGCATAATGTTTTAAATTTAATAGAGAAATGGATAAAAAGTACACAGGCTATATCCAAGTTGGTCTGTCTTTCAGGTCCCTGGGCTGGGAACTTGTGTTGTTTGTATACTATCTTGATTTATGTTTATTTAAATAATGCCAAATATTAGTTTTAAATTTACAGTGATTGTTTTATAAGATATCTCCAATCCTATCAGGATGAAGGGCTTACACTAAACAAAACAGTTTGTTTATACTAGTAATACATCTCATAGGAAATACTTAGAATCCCACATGTTCAAAGCAGGACTTTCTTAGGAAAGCCTATTTTTCCACAGAGGGCTGCTATCTCCTGCAACCAAGAGGCCACAGTTCCAATCAGTAGAAGCTGGTCTGCAGTGCTTCACTAAACCTGAAAGTGAGTTTTAATGCTACCTTAAAATAACCATTCACACATGCAAACCAATTAGTGGTGCAGGTACTTAAGTGTGAAAGCAAAGGCAGAGCAACACCTTGTCCTTCTCTGAAGTACAATAAATATTTACACGTTCCTATAAAGATGCCCCTGCATATCCAAGTCCTGTATTTTGTACTCTGGAGCTGTGCTTGTACAACAACTAGCAGAGCAAAGCCCTCCTCTACAGCTGATGCTCTTCTGTGCTCAGATCACAAATTGAAAGTGGATGGGACAAATACTTAAAATCACAGACACTTAGTAAAATCTCCCCAGCACACTTTACAACCTCTCATGTACAGTGACTGCACAAATTTTCTCCTCTGTCTACAGACTGAAAAAAATATTCCTCCAGTTTGTACACAAACAACAGCAAGTCCGTTTTGAAGGGGAAAGAAGGAAAAAGGCAGCACTCAAAACTTTAAGGATTATTTACGAACAAGCTGAAGCCCTATAAACTTGGCTACTGAAGAAAGACAATCCTCTCTAGTTTATGCCAAGTGGGTCAGACAGAGGAAGAACCTCAGCAGTCTTCAAAGTCAAAGCAGATGGGGAAGTGAGTAAGAGCCCATGTGAGCAAAAAGGAAACAAGATTCTCCTCATTTTAGCTTGTTTCAGAGTTTCAGTTTTCTAGATGCCATTGACTGACACAAGCAGAGGAGCTCACTAATGTAACAAGTATTAGAACTGCACAGTAATTACTTAAGACTGATACAGATGCAAAAAAATCAAGTCCCAGTGTGTGCAGATTAAGGATGCTGCTTAGCTCAGTAGGAGAGAAGCAGGTGAAGTGTAAGAAAGGTGCTAAGAGAATGGGAGAAATGCCCTTGCTTTGTAGCTATGAAAAAACTACTTGGGATTCTTTATCATTAGTGCTTTGGTATCAGAGATATAAATATTTATGTAGCTGTAAAGTAGGTTCTACTTTAGAGCTAATTGTTGCTCAAATTAGATTGTTTAAAAAAAAAACCAACCAAACACATAAGCCTGCAATAATGTTTTTATCCTTTTTTAAATAAAAAAAGCAGCAGTGCACACATGCCATAGAATGACCATACATCACATTCCTTAAAAAACTGAAGCTGACCTCTTGGTCCTTTCTCAGGCTTTACATCTCCAGACAAGATCTGGGCCAAGACCATGTCCATACCCTGGGATGCATCTTTATCTCAGGGTAACCTCATCATCCAAGTGGTGAAACCTAAAACCAACTAATCTCCCCCAGGGTCATGCTTGTGGAGCTGGGAATCCCTCCATCTGCCTCAGCAATATAAAAACATCGCTGGCTGCAAAATAAACAGCACATGAACCACAGAACAATTGCCCCTCCAGCCAATGCTGCTCATGCCACCCACCACGGGCTAGTAATTTTTTAAGAGCTCCCTCACCCTAAAATAAACTTCATTCTTTGAAGAAAGACCTTATGCAAGTTGACAACACATAACTTCTTTTCAATTCATCCAAAGAGAGGATTCCCCCTCCAAATTCCTGGGAGTTTTGCAATCTGACAGAGCAGACTTTGAAGGACCACAGAAATACTTTGGATCAAGAACTTTTAAACTGAGCTGGGAACAGTGGAAGAAGGAGTATGCAGTGCTACAGCTTCCTAGGGAGACACAGAAAGCCAAGGACATGCTGAGGAGATGCTCATCTTCCAAAGAAAATACTAAGAGAAGCAGGCATCCTTCCACCACTTATATTTAGCATCAGCTATTCCACTGGTGTTTCCATGAGTGTTTTTTGCCCAAGATTTCTGCTGGAAGAGCCAGAGCTGCAAAACTTGTACGAAAACTCATCAGGAAGAGTCAAGGAGGGGTTGAACAACACCAACCCACTTTGGATACATGCATCCTCACTTACGTGAACTCAAGTGATCTGATATCCAGGGTGGGTTGTGTGGAGAAAAGTCAAGATAGAAATAGATATATATTAAGTTTTTGCTTGTCTTTCTGTGTGTGTAACTATATACATCAAGAAATTTGCTAAAGTGAGAGGTACAAAGGAAAGGAGAGAGGTTGTGTTATGAGCAACAGCAAGAGAAAGGAACTTCAAACTACAGTCATTTTAGTTTTTCTTGTTATTATTATTTATCATATATGCTGTAAATTAACTACCTTGCTTTAGGTAACTTTTTACCATGACAACTATTCCTTTTATCATCATTTTCACATCAACTTTAGATGCTTTAAGATGCAAAGTGAAACCTCCCCTAAATCCTCCTCCCCACTAAAATAGACCCAAACATGTTAACCTTGAAGGACCACGTAAAGTTGCATTTGCTGACGTCAAACCTTCTCTCTGCACGCTGGTGGAGTTGGAAGAGAAAAAAAAATTAAAAAAAATATCTATATACAAGATCATGCTGGCTTCTTAACAGCATCTGCACAAAAAGGATTCTTTTTTATGTGACATGTACAGTTGACCTGGGTTAACACTGCAGTGTGGGGAGTTGAAAAGGGATCACCTGATGAAACAGAAATACCTCCCTCCAAACTATATTGCAGGAATTCCAGCCAAGCACCCCAACCACAGCAAACACTAAGAGCCTTCTGGAACAGCACATGTTCTGTGTCAGCAGAGCAGCATTAATACAAAACTCAATTCAAATAAAGGAGCACTGACCCTTTGGAAAGGGAAGGGCTTCATCAGGCTCCTACCACACCAAACAAAGACCACTGAAGATACTCCAACCACCGCAAAAAAATTATTATATCAAAAGGAGGAAAACAATGTCAGCCTTGTACATGTTTTGTTGGTGAATAATGACAGTGTTTACCTTCCCAGCCTAATACATTACTGCTCTGCACTCAACTTTAAAACAGAGTACATGACAGAATTAATTATGTCCTTTCCTCTTAACTACCATTCCCTGGTAATTTATTAGCTTGGTCTGCATATATTCATAGATGTGTCTAATATACAAAGTTAAAAGGACTTAGAACTGATGCCTAAATACTCCCCTCATTTGCAGAGTCCTTTCCATCCTCTGGACAGGCAGTGGCATCAATAAATAGAGCCTCAGGCTGCATATTAGTCACTGCTCAAGCAGTAGAGGGAAACATGGGGGAACCACAAGCACACTGCAATGACATGTCTCAGGAGCAATGCAGTGCTCTCAGAGGGTTCTGCTAAGGACTTTGCCACCTTTGTTGGCTCACTCCCAGTTTGGAGTCCATGAGCCAGCTCCTGTGTGTTCTCAGCAAAAGACAAATGCCATGCCACACAAACCCGGAGTTCAACACCCTGACAAAGGAATGACACATAGATAAACTCTGATAGGCTCTCTAAAAGGGAACTCAAAACCTCTCTGCAGTTGTCTATCTTCACTCCCCTAAAGTCCTCTCTAAAGAGGGGCAAATACCAGGGGAAAAGCAGATTGGAGAAGACTTCTGGTTTAAGACAATTTTATTTCACCAAGGTCTCTCATCTCAAGGAGAGAAGCTGCTATGCTGACCATTCACTGGAAGGAGATCGAAAGGAAGAGAGGGTGGGAAATGCAGAAAGCAGAGACAGGACAAGAAAGAAAAGCCTTTCCCAGATGCTTTCCAAGGAGTAGCAGCACTTTTGTCAGGGTAGATGTTAGGACATTATATTCCCACGTGAACACTGCAGTTGCTTTTGGCCTCAGCGAGATCAACAAGCAACCCCAAATAACACATCAAATTAGCTGTATATATAGGGATTAACTTCTTGTCTTGCATCAGAGGTCAGTCAAGTCTTTTCTCCACCACAAAGGAAAACAGTACATTTTGGTAAAGTAGCACATTCAGTTCTTCCACCCATCATCCATGGCACCACAGCATTGGATTTGTGCTCAGAATGTCACAAAGATATTCAGAAATAGACAAGACCAGGTGCTTTCAATCAACACCCAGAAATCCTGTCAATCATCAATTATGTGGAATCTGCATTTTAGAGGTGTGGATGGGGTTCAGAAGATCAAAGAGGGGGTGTTAAATATGCTCATGTTATCTCATGTTTTGGGCTAAAAAAATATAAAACTCTCAAGCTTTTTATGATTTCTCCACATCAGAAGCTCCCGCCTGAGGGAAAGAGGGAAGAGAAAGGGATGGAGGAAAAGGAACTCTATCTAAAAACCTGGAAGCATGAAGGTTTCATTTCATAATAAAATGACATTAAGTGATAACAAGTTTACTTTCCAGTGGGGAAGAAAATGCAGATCATCTCTTGAAAAAAAATTGATAAATTGATGAGATTATGCAGTAAAATGCAGATATAATCTGCATCTCATTATTCTGCACCATGTCCACTTCATTTGATTATATGAACAAATGAGGTCCTTATGTCATACTAGAGGCATTACCCCTACTTTTGTTTACAACATCTTTCTAGCCTTTAACCACAGCACAGGCAGCACAGCTGGCTGGCAGCTCCACATTACAACCCAACATGCAAAAGAAGTTAAGATAGGGGAAGTGATTCTAAAAAAATCCACAGGAAAAAATCTTGCTTCACTTACCTAAGCAAAGTTGTCATTAGAGAGTTTTCCAGTAATAAAATCCAAGAGAAAAAGCCTGAAAAAAACATAGAACACGGCGAAGTTTCAGTACATAGGATATTACTCATATTTTTTCCTTGGTAATTGGAAAAGTCAGTGATCTAAAGAAAACGAAAATTCACTCCATTAGTTGCCTTTCTGATAGTTACTTGTAACAAAAGGGTCCTCCTCAGACAGGGAATGTATCAGAAACAATAGGGCAGATTTTTCACTGCTGCTGCCAGCATTATACCAGTGCAATTCCCCAAATGTCAATCATGTTGGGCTGCAATAAAACTGGTGTTATCCAGCAGACGAGTCAGGCCTAAGGCAATTAGCTAAACTGCCCCATTTAGATTTTCAGTCATCTGTCCCTCCCACTGAGCTGGATTATCAAAAACTTTGGACCAAGTTGTGGGGTGAAAATCAAGGAGTCACAAATGTTCACACACAGAGTAAGGCTGAAGGCGGCCCGAAACAAAAATGCTGCTTTTAAAAAAAATACCCAAACCACCCCAAAGCTAACCACAAAAGACTGAGGCAGAACAACACACACCAATATTAAGAAAGATGGGAAATACAAGATTTCATTATAGGCATAAAAATCCAAAGCGAAGTACAAGTTCCTGGCAAAGATGGCATGATGGGTTTCACCAAAATCACTGCTACCAAAAAACCAAAAAGCTTGTTGAGACTCATGAATGCAGACTGAAAAAAAAAAAATAAATAAAAAGAAACCACACACCCAAACTAACTGAATATGGATGACTGCAAGCCTCCAAATCAAAGAGGGAGTTGACCACTGTTTAGGAGGAAGAAATCATTGCTTGTTCCAAGATTAAAAACTTTTAATTCTGGCCCCAGCTGAAGCACTATCATTCACTAATCTGCTGCAATTTAGTCGGGCTGATCCCCCGCTCAGACAGACGGGGCATTATCAAAAGTTGCTCCATTCATTTCGCTTCCTGTTAGCCAGTGAAAGCCCCTTTTATACCCTCCTCCAGAGGCTGCTAAAGCCAGGGAAGACTTTTCCGATAGAGAAGATAAGGTAGTTGGATTTATTCATGAGAGGAAGAAGGGAAGTTGTAGAGGCTGATTACAGCTGCTCCAAAGCTGAAAACTAGAGGATTGGAAAAGGGAGGTAGAAGATGATGGATTTCTTATTAAATAAGAATACCATTACTGTTAGAGGTAGCATTAACTCTCCTGATACTCAGCTACAGAATTGAGATTTTACTCTGAACTCGGCATCATCAAATATGCACATGTGGTTAAATAATTCAGAAATACACTAACCTGTCAGAATGTGGTATTTTTTAGGAGACTGAGTAAATAATTTTGTAAAAAAGAGAATATCTAAGACTGAAGGATAAACTAGCCAGAGTCAGAGAGAGAACACTAGAAATGGTCTCCAGATTGAGACTGTTCACATATCATTTTTAGGGTCAGATCTTGTTCTTATTGTCGATATGAACACTCTCAGACTTCAATGGGGTAGGATGGTGATTTCCACATTACTTAACATGTGTCAGCAATTTCGAACAATCACTTTGCAGATTCTTAGAGCAAACCAAGCAAAACCTCACCAGTGAGAGCCCAGTACAGTACTTGGCAGATGAAAAGCTGCCTGGAAACTCTATTGAGTCCCTGAAAAACATTCCCCCATTAATGTTCAAACAATCTGGTATAGTTAGAATAGTTTTTAAATGCAACAAGATGGAAATGCAAACAAAAACACATTTCTCGAGTTTAAAGAGGTCAAGCCAAAGCAGCAAAGCTCTACCAGAAGTTAGGGCTAACAATGATGGTTACAGGGCCTGCCTCTTCCTTCCCCTCTTCCAGACTATTCTTCTCCAAACCAAGGAGCAAAATAAACAAGAATCAAAATATCCACAGCAGAAAATCACAAGCAGCTTTAAAAGAAAGAAAATAACTCAGCTGTACCTCATAATTATTCCATCCAGTCCAAATACACATCCAGTCTTTAACTGCTTTCCCCTCTGACAACATTAATGAGATAAACACAAGCAAAAATTATATATATATATATATATTTAATACACTATTATGTGAGTGGGAAAACTTAAAGGCAACAGTTTGAATTAGACAAGGGTTGAGTGTAAATCTCTGTTGGGCAGTAAGAGGGAATAACCAAATCTAGAAGCAGCATGACCCAAAAAGATGGTTCACAGGTCACCACAGGGAGGGTGAACTACCAATGGTACTTATGTAAATGGAGACAAGGCTGACAAATTAACTCTTGCCTTGCAGAATATTCATATGCAATCAAAAAGCATTCAGCTACAACAAAATCCAGGACTTATTTTGGTTCATCTCCTCCTTCAGGTTATTTTAGACATCCCAGACACAACTTAAGCATGAACTGTGCAGATCAGTTTGCTCAGAGGTCACATAATTTCTTCTCAGTGATCAAAGAATCAGGGAAAGAGGAGACAACAGCCTCTTTCTATTCCCACCCCAGCCTCCATCTCTTCAGACATCACTTCAGGCAAAGCTCAGCTGGCACCCCTCTCCCTACTTTTTGCTGCAGTGGGATCTTGCCTGTTGTAATCACCAACTTCAATCATAAGCTACAGCAAACTCTGCAAATGCTCACATTTAATGGGTACCTGAGAAAAAGCTGCCAAGTCTCAGATTCCCCCCATAATAAATAAGGTAATACTGCTCCCCTATCTTCACAGACACTTTGCAACACAAATCTGAAGGGACAATGAACTGTTAAAAATCTCCAATGCACAAAAGCAATTTTACATGTTAATTTACAGTTTCACACTATGAATAAGGACAAATTTATCAAAGCACAAAGGGTGTTTCCAACAGTGGGAATGTCGTAATGGGATGACAAGACACAGCCTGCTTGTTCCGCATGTTTGGTAAGATTGTTGGGTCTTTCGTGTCACAATACAACTCTTGTTACACCAATATTTAATTAAAAACAAGCAAAAGTCCACCCAAAATTTGCCATTTGTTTTCAGGTCCAAGGAACTCACGGTGGCAAGTCAGAGCCGATACTGCATCACAAGGAATGGAAGAGGCATGAAGGAGATTTTCCTTGGTCTCTTCTTTAATAAAGACCCAACTGCAGCAATGTTACAGCCCATGCAAGGGAGTCAGACCAAGTCTGAACACTTCCCACTCAAGCTGACAGGCTACAAGAATACCACAACCAGAGGCCCAGGTCCAGTGGTACAGTGTTGGATACAACTCATTTTGTTCAGTGAAAATATGACTCTACACATACAACAATTTCAGGAAAGCCAAAAAAAGAACAGGTTTACTTGGGCTTTACATTTCACTGCCCTCCTTCTGCAAAGTCAAAAGTGGTGATGATGCCAGGGTTTGGAGGTCAGTTTGGTTTTTTATAATCCCAAAACCTACACGTTCCTACTTCTAAAGACCACCCTGTGTTTCTCTTAGGCCTGGGAATGGATATATAGACATCCAGTTTCTAGCATCTGTACTGGCAGCAGTTACACTTGGAATAGCTGTGACTGAAGGCAATGGAAGATCTCAATAGTAGTCCCATTGTCACACAAGGCTGCAATTCCAGATTTCTGCACACATTGCGAGGGGCATGTGGCACTACTGCTGGCTGGAGCTCAGCACGTTCCCGGGCAGCTCTGCGGTAACAACATTTATGCTGTTAAAGCTGGCTGCAGAAGAATTCAGAGAGGAAAATCAGCAAAGAAATCCAACATTCAGAGAGCAAACCCTGCACATGCAAATCAGGCTTTTCAAATTCATGACGCACTGAAAGAGGAAGGATTTTCCATCTCATCTCCAAGCGCAGGCTTAGCGGTGCCAGGAAGGTTAGAGGACTGCCAGAGCATGCACAGGAGAAGGCTTGTCTGCAAACAGAATAAACAGTCTTGACTAAATTCTTGTAACCAATTAAGCAACAATTCTCAACTGAGAAAACAGCATCTCCCAGCTCCCTGCCTAATCCCCAACTCCTGCTTCTTGAGCTGGCTTTAGATTTTTAAGTCTTCCATTTTTCTTAAGCAGAAGACAAATGGATGCCAGTTCTGCAGACTGCAGAAGCCTTCTGCAAGGCTTTAATTTGCCTTTTAAAGACCATCAGTACTCAGAAGTGACTTAACACTAATGAGCTTTCACCAGCAAGTCTGCAAACATTAGTACATGTGAGTAGGCACGCTAAATCCACTCAAATTACCTATCTGCAAGGCTCTGCTCCAGCCTGGACTGGACTTCAAGCCAAGGAATGATGAAACCTGGAAGGTAACTATGGATTTTCTCTCATCTGCATCCCTTTGTTAAGCTACTCAGTGATGTTAAGCAGATGCATTTTGAATGTGCTGGTTCATCTCGTGTAAAGGGCGGAGAAAAGGAAGAAGAGTCAAAGTAGTACTTTATCTGGAAAAAAGCAAGTATTTTAAACTAAGTATTGCTACTGTATCTAGAATGTAAGAGAGAGATAGCTGAAATTCCTTTAAATACATGTGTTCAGTTTTCAAACTGCAAACAAGCCAATCTGACAAACCAGCTCAGTTAGGATTGCTCCAGTAAAGCTGAGGGTCTCACCCCCACCCTTTTCCTAAGTGAGCCAGCACAAGTTTCTGGCATAGGAACTGGTGTGTGAGATTTTAACATTCCCCTTTCCATAAACAGTCATACATCAAGCTCCAAAAATTTGCTTCACAGAAACATTTGCACTAGTAAAACTCAATTATTCTAATATTTGTATGACACATGCAGGAGGCGTACATAAAAAGGTTATGGTGAGCTCATTTAAGAATTTAAACAAGAACTTGATAAAAAGGTTTTGAATTATTCACTCAGCTCCACTGTTATATCAGGCTTCCAAAGGAGTCTTTAAACAACAGCCCAGAAGACGCTGTATTTATAACAAAAAGGCAGAACTGAAGCCATCACACTGTCTCACAGCACAAACCATTCATAATTAGCACACAGGCACGGTATCATGCCTTGGTCACAATCCTGCCAGATTAACTGGACACTTTAAACATTTATACAAATATTCCTGTCTGGAGAGGC